GACTTTCCAAGCTAACTAGAACTAATAGCCCCAAACAGCAGCATTTAAGTTTTAAAAAAATACGATTTAGGTACATCCTGTACCCTCCATGTGAGGTCGGCCCAGACCCTAGGGGTTTTCCAATCCTCACTGAAGACTCACTTCTTCTCTCAGGCCTTCTAGTCAGAGCTGACTACGACTCCTGACATTTCCCTGTGTTTTGTTTTTACATTTGCTGTTGTAAATTATTATCTTTTGTTGTTATTGTAGTAGTAAGCGTTTGTATTACATGTACAACACTTTGTACAAAAATCGTTTTTAAACAACTTCCTTTTAACCCACATCAATGAAGAGGTTCACTCATGGAGGTTCAGCAGTACTTCAAATAGAAGTGGTCTCTCCTGAACGGTCAGCTGTCAGGAAGATGGATAGGGTCTGTGTATTTGGACGACTGTGGGTTTGATGTCGGTTGATCTTAACCTCCCACAAACTAAAAGTCAATAAGCTGGAGCCCAACTATCCCTCAGGGGAAATAAAAATCAAAGTTAAAGAACAGAAGCCAAACAAGTCACTTAAAAACTGTTCATATCACTGTGCTGTGCAGCAGGTAGAAACCTGTCAGTGGACAAAGTCGATATCCATCAGCTGGAGGTCAGGAGAGGTCAGCCATACCAGATAGAAAGGCTGTTGTGAATACTTCAAAGCTTCTCTCTAAAAGTTGCCATTCAAGCTATAACCTAATGGTCAATAATGTCAAATGAGTGTGCTTGAATCCAACATTTATGAACAAATGAAGATAAATATAAGGCTAAACTAATACAATTAATTTAGTATTTAACTATGTATAGAATAGTACAGTGGTAGGATGTAAAGGAATGTATGATCCCAACATTTCCAATAACTCAAGAAGATTTTAAGGCCATGAAGTAAAACTGTATCTAAAAATGTATATGTTGTTATTTATACATTTGTCAACACAATTTATTTAACAAAATATCATACTTCATACTTGAATAGCGTTTCGAAAAGTTTAGAGAATACTTTACCCTGTTTCCTGCTCAATGCACATTAAGGGATGCAAACATTTCTAGGCTATAAACAAAGCGATCAAGCATGAATGAACAAAACTTACAAAGATATATTCATTAAAGAATTTTGAATGAAAAAATAACTAGTACTCATCACAATTTGATGAATCACTTTGTTCAAGGATTTATTTTGTGTGTGATGTTGAAAAACATTCAAACTTAATTCAAAAATCTCAATGAATGACATTCAGTGAAGCCCTAATAGATTGGGGAAACAGTTTAGTGCATTCTTTCAAAAGAGCGAGCCGGGCATCACCATTTTCTTATCTTGAACCCATCAAATTTGAATTTCATTTTCAACCCTGAGTAACACCGAACCCATGAATATGTAATGTTAAATCCTTTATGACAATTAGTCTTTAACAACACTAAGTTTGCTAACAGCTGTGAGCTGGCGTGCCCTGGAGCGAATAACTGAATCTACCAGCTAATGTTTACTCTTCTGTAACTGTCCCTAATCTAACAAAGTACAATAACTGTCTCAATACCTGTTTATTATGAATCAACATTTTAGACACAATGTTAAGAACACACTCGAAAAAATCTATTACTGTTTACTGTACTGCATACTGGCCATTGAGCCTGACCTTACTGTATCTTTGTTGGAGGCATTAAACTGTAACCATGTAGGTATCCTTGGCCCTCTGCCCTCCACCATAAAACTGAATACAAGCAGCCAGCTAATGTAAAATGCCAAGCACTTTCAACAACATGCTAGTTGTTATGGCCCCTGTACAGTCTTTATTATTAGCGTTCCATTGCCTTGGAAAGAGAGGTCACCACCAAGTGCTACGACAAGGGAGTTAATTGTTTACAGTAACTAGATGACTATTTGGATCAACATTTTTAATAAGCCATTTGTGAAGTAAAAATATTAAACAAGCCATAGTTCCAGATGGTCTGATGATGATTTGCTGGGTTTTCAATTATTTTTAGACATTGGAGACCAAACAGTAACATGTCATTCAGTAGATCAATACAATTATTGTTTGTTGCAGAACTAGTCGACACGTAAATGTTAGAATAAAGCATAGGCGCTTATTTTCACTACTTCATAAGCAGGTTGACCAATGGGCTAATATCCCCAAAACCTGGAATACTGCACTTAGAAAGAGAGAGAGGGAGAGATTGGCAGCTAGTTGGCAGACATGCCAGGTTGAGTATGTGTTGAAGCTGCAGCCAAGGCTCCCACCAAGTGTCTCTTCTCTCAAACAAAGAGCTTTTCTCACATCCTCGGTCTCTCTCTCACACAAACACACACAGAGTATTACCTCAATCATTGAATGTGACAAGCTGGGACTGTGTGTGTGTGTGTGTGTGTGTGTGTGTGTGTGTGTGTGTGTGTGTGTGTGTGTGTGTGTGTGTGTGTGTGTGTGTGTGTGTGTGTGTGTGTGTGTGTGTGTGTGTGTGTGTGTGTGTGTGTGTGGGCTCACTCAGGCTGACTAAGTATCTTTGTAGGAATCAGGATTAGGTTGTTCACCGACACAAGGCTTATGTAAAGCTGACCTACAGTATGTGGCACCGCACAGTGTACTGGCCTGCTGCAGTGCTACCTGTTCACTCTGACAGCACACTGTAATCAACATAATGTATAATAACTTGATAAATGTTTCCCTGACACAATGATCCAAGGTATGATGTAGTAGTCATATTTTACATGATTTCTTTGTAACCCTGGAGCCAACCAGTATTCCCTGCAGAAGGTCTTAAACCCTGCCACAAGGCTCCTAACTAGCACCAATAAAATAGTCTATTAATTCCTCAGTACTAGCCTCCCTTTCACTAATTACTACCATCTCTTTTTTTCAAAGCTCTGATTTAGAATCAATAAATGTCTCTTCCCAATTTCTTTTGCTAATTTAGTCCATCTGACCCTATTCCACTTTAGTTTACTTTACTCTTGGCAGTTACATTTTGAGTACTGAGACTACAAAATAGTTCCTTTGGAATTGATAAAAAACAGTAGGAGAAAAGGAAGGCACTGAAAAAGACAGCACCTCACCACACAGCGCTCTGGAAAATCTTCTGATTCCTCTCCCTGATATTTGACTGAGCCTTTCAATTTAACCTCTTAATGTCGACACAAACCAGAGGCAGTGATTTGTCAGCTAAAGTATACACCACCACCCATGCATCACCTTGACATCTGCCCTTTCAGCAGATGACTCTGCATCTGATTAATATTTAGTTTTAATCAAATACAAATGTGAAAATCAACTATTCTATATTCTATGTGCTTTCAAAGGGATTTTTAGGATGATATATCTAAAAATCCCTTTGAAAGAGAATAGGAACGTTGATAAAAAGAGCAGTAAATTCCTTTTTTATCTTTAAACTCTTTCTTATACACAATCTGTAAACTCAAAATCCAGATAGAAATAAGAAATAACCCTTATAGGAGTGATTTTGGCCTACATACACACGCCAAGTCATAGAGTTGCAAGAGGCCACTGTTAATGCACATTAGAGGTTGAACTTAATGCTATGGATGGTGAGAAACATATACAGAATGCTATGTTCAGCATGTAGATCACAGACAAATCACGTCAAGACAAAGCAGAAGATATTTTTCGATCTATAGTGATGAATCTCGGTTGTTTGCTGCTAGTCTCTACTTTGTCCTTCCATAAAATCGAGATACTGTAGATGCATACATTAGACCAATAATCATGTCATAGCTGAATCTGCGCCTGTGGCTAACACTTACAGCAGGCCAAACGCAGACCTTGGTGGAATGATAGATGCCGATAGACGACCAGCCAGGAATATGAGCCCACTCCCTCGGTGAGGAGGGGCTTCAAGCTGCTTGCCTGACCATTCATGACTCAATGCACTTCAGCCTCATCCTGAATGCATAAGGTGTTTAAATGTATCTGAACACACTGTAGGCAAGTGGACATGACAGAGTGAAATCAATAGCCAGCCCCTTTATGTAAATGTATGAATCGAAGCCTACATGCACTGAAGATGACATCTATCATGTTTAAACTCACTAATATATAACCATTCAGTATGAGGTAAAAGAGCTCTGAGGTGTAACAGCCCAGACGACTTTAGCTGCATTTGCATGGCTTTATGATGAAGCAGAGGTCCAATGAAGAAATCACATCTTTACGTAACCAGCAATCACTTGATTTCAAATGGAATCAAATAGACCTCATCAATTGCAACAGAAAATGTGATTTCCTTACATAAAAGAAAGGTTATGATGACAACATGCACATATTGGGTTTTAAATTGTGTAATCAGTCAGAGCAGCCAATATGACTCAGCACCTGTATTTGCCACCCTCTCTCTTTCTCTCTCATTAAGCAGACTTGATCAGATTTGAAATCACCATTATATTTATAAATGTGCATATTCTCAATATCTTTTTCAGAATCACATCATGTAATATATTTCCATCGGGTTCTATAGGCGTAGTATAGCTTGGAAGTCGTGCACTGCCACCGCAGCAAGGCAAGTTCCCGCAGTGACCGCAATAGGTAAATCCTTTATGTGGCACAATGCAGATTGTATCCTTTCAACCACTCATTTTAACATTTAATTGCGTAATAAACCGATAACATCTAAAGAAATCAATTACCCATATGTGCTTCTTAGATCTGTTGCTCAGCTGTGATTTCATATCAGACCAAATTCCGGAGCACTGCTTATCTAAACATGGCTTTAAACGCAAAAATTACACAGAAGAGACTCATAAAAACCCAGATCCAGTTCTCCTGTAGACAAACAATGCGTCCTTTCTCCATCCACACAGAGAGGGGCACCCCATCATTTCAGCTTGAATGCTTTCAAGGATTAAAATGGTCACAGTCGGGTGAAAATGCTCCCTCTGACCGACATCACAATCGTTTGTTGATGCATTGCCATTCGTCCTCATACTATTGTTTTACCAAGCTGTTAGGAAAATAAAGAAGTGTAATTTCTTACCTGTTAGGCGCAGTGTCTTTCAGTGCAACTCCGGGTCTGTCGGACACAGGGGCTCCGCAGCCTGCATTTACCGTAATGGAGGTAGTAGTCACGCCGTTACATTATTACTTTGCGCTTGTAATTACGGTGTTGTGCTTCACCCGTTTTCTTGAAATAGTAGAAAGATACACAAACATTCTGTAAATAAATCTCAACTCGAAGAGAATGAAATGCAATTGTAATAATGTTAATGTAACTCAAAAGGCAATTGTAAAGTTAATGGCTTAACTTTGCTTTGCTTTGCTCGCGTTGCTCGCTTCAAAAGTTGAGCAATGTTCAACTTTTGAAGCTTCGACGGAAGCGTCAGCCAATCAAATCATATGCCAGTACAAGCTCTAGCCAATCAAACCGCGTGCTTGTGTGTCCGGGGCGGGAGATTCATGTGATTGGTTGTTGGTCGAGTTTCAGACACGCCCACCGGCAAGCTTCAACGCACGCCACCGTGTGGACGCTTTAGCCCTTGCCACACGAGGACGAAAACGGTCGTATCTGCTACAGTTCTCTATCAGATAGACGGTTCGGCCACACGGAAAACGCAGAAAACGAGAACGATAACGATAACGGGTCCCTAGGTGGGTAGATCTGCAAACGAAACGCTCTGGGGGGGCAAACGGCTCTGTGTTTACGCCTATACGATCATGTCCTGATTAGGGGTTTCACAACTACCAACTACTACTAGTCGACACATTTTTCAAAATAGTAGTTGACTAGTCGACTAGTTGTTATGTCATAATAAAGACACACAAAGAGAGGAGTAAAACTGTATTTTGTATTGCAATGCATACAGTTACGTTAAATACTGTAACAAAGCAGCATTTTAATTTGGGTTATATGGCTGATTAAATAAAAAACAGTAACTGGACTCAAATCTACAGCAAAAACTCTGTTGAGAACATAAATGCAACATAAATCCAGTGTGCATTGCGCAACACTTTACTCGCTGTCACTGTTCTCCTCGATAACGATGTCCACCCTTCCAGGTTTTTTGGTTTGCGTTAAGGAAGACCAAAGCATCAACATGTGAGGGAAGGAGGCTTGACCGCTGTCGGGTGACAGTGTTGCCTGCCAGGGAAAACATCCGTTCACTTGGGGTGCTGGTGTAGCCAGGTAGCTCCTGGAAAGCTTGGCTAAACGGGGGAAGCGGTTCGCGTTTTGTGCCCACCACTTCAGAGGGTTATCCATTGTGGGGATATGGGGTGTCTGCTGGCAGTAATCGGCAAAAACCACTGTTGACCCGTGTTTTCTTGTTGCTCTCGAAATGAGGTCGAAACAGCTGTTCAAAGAGGGGGTGCTAGTGGAGCACGCTCGTGAACTCTTAGCGCCGGAGTTAAAACTGAAACTGTAGAGTGCATAGGTGCGGCACATTTGCGCATAAGATGAGGACCCCTGAATGTCGGACGTGTTTTACTGGAGCATTTTGCCTCAGCGCCAATGTCGGCATCCTCATCTCCCACTTTTGCCTCCATTTTGTTCACGACTAGATGACTAGGGCCTACAGCGCCGACTAGTGGTAGAGGTAGTCGACTAGTCGATTAGTTGGTGAAACCCCTAGTCCTGATAACGATGACGCAATAGCCCCGCCTCTCCCCACCTCTCCTGCTCAGAGATCAGCTGCTGGGCTCTCAGGTGCTTGACACATGAGGACGATGACGGTCGTATCTGCTACAGTTCTCTATCAGATAGACGGTTCGGCCACACGAGGCCGACACGGAAACGCAGAAAACGATAACGATAACGGGTCCCTAGGTGGGTAGATCTGCAAACGAAACGCTCTGGGGGGGCAAACGGCTCCGTGTTTACGATCATGTCCTGATAACGATGACGCAATAGCCCCGCCTCTCCCCACCTCTCCTGCTCAGAGATCAGCAGCTGGGCTCTCAGAAGAGGGGGAGGAAAAGAGAGGCTCCGTGTTTTATTCTTATATTATTATATAGACTAGTATTCATTTGTTTTAAAGCTCAATAAATAACAAAGAAGACCTTTGACCGGCACTTTTCAAATTTTGTCCGGAAGATTTCAACTTTAACGGACATGTTGACCCGCGAAAACAAATCTAACTGAAACTCTGTTGCACGGTCCCCTCGTCCCTTGGAAGAGGCGGAGAGGTGGGTGTTTTTCATCTGCTGGTGGACTACCGGAGAGAATTACAGCAGCAGGAGCACACGCTTGCCTCGGGGAGGGAGAAAAAGAGCCAGAGCGTCCACAGCGGAGAATAAACAGAAGGGCAACCATGGCAACCATGCGCGGGAAGTCTTCTTCACTGCTTTTGTGGTAGGAGTACAGCGCCACTTACAGGCCTGGCATATGTACTACAGCGTCTCCAGCGCATTCGAGCGGTCTCGTGTGAACGGACACGTTTTTGGTGCCTGTTGCATGTGGACGGAAGACTTTTTGATAACGATTGCGGTCCGTTATCTCTTTCGTCCTCGTGTGGCAAGGGCTTAAAGTAACGTGTACGTTACAAATAGTAATTAGCGTTTTAACCCATTGAATTTGTTTTTGAGGTAGTTTGTCCGACATTTAAACTAATAAGTTAATAGGGGAGAAGGGGGTAAATTCAGCCAGTGGGTCAATTGAACCACCCCCTGTAACCAGGCAACGCTTTATAGTTGTAATCACGTGACCAGAAATTATGCAAGCTCCTCCCATTTCTCTTTGGCTGTGACCAGCGCCGTATAGATAGATTTCTATTATAGGGCTCTGGCTGTGACATAGAGATGCTCATTGTGGTCTGGTAAGTAAACATTTTTAGCTTGTCAAAGTACATTTTCTAGAGGTCAGCTATATCGGCTGTCATGTCAAACTAAATGTTTCCAGGTTTAAAAACATATATTGTATATGTTGATGTGTTGGCAGCGTATTAAACCATGTGAATCATTAAGCTAAAGATGACTCTGAATTTTTAAGCTAGGCAATTCTTTCTAAAATGGTGGCTATGGGGTAAAGTGAACCATGGGCCTTGGGGTAAGTTGAGACAGTGGTTCAATCGAGTAGCAGAATGAAAGTATAGGCCCAGTTGATAATAAGAGCTCATTATAGGCTACATTTCAAGTTGAATTTACCCTGTGTTTGATTGGTAAGATGTATGAAATTGTATCACCATTTGTATGATTACTTTTCCTTTTAACATGTTAAAAAAAAAATCAATCAATTCAATCGAAATTGATATTAAAATATTTGAAAAACTAAACTTGTATTTGGTTTGTTATTTATTATTTAAAGTTACCTTTAAGATTTTTTGTAGGTATGCCCAGGTCTAAACTGGAAAAAGTGAAGCGGTTCAATTTACCCCCTGACCTGGATCAACTTACCCCTAACCCGGGGCAAGTTGAGTCACAAGACCACTTTTTTTTTAGAAGTAATATTTTCACTGCCCTTGATCAAATATTAATTCTTATCATTGCCATTGATAGGAGACATCCTGAATTATAGGTGTGTGCTTTCATTTTTACTATGTGTAATTTCTCCTTGCTTAGAGGACAGCATAACTAAAAAATGGCTCAATTTACCCCACTCTCCCCTACTGGTGAAATGCCAAGTGACATGGAAATGAATGGTGACGCCTTTTAAAGTCCCTACAAAAAATACACAGCTGTAACTAATTAACATTAATGAGGCTTTTGAACACTGGTGAACTACCATGTTTTACAGGGCATAACAAACCCTTTATAAAGTGTTTACCTGGTCCAGTTGTAATGCCTCTTGTAATAGCTATGTATCCAAATAATGTTTATTTTTTTGGTAAATTCGAAATTAATGGGATTTTATTTAAATCAACCAAAGTTTTTATTGGAACTACTTTCTAACAAAGGAACAGTCCCTAGCCTATCGTGGACATTGTGATTTGATTAGATAATAATTACATTGAGATTAAGATCAATATATTGTTGTTTTTATTGTGCAGATCGGGAAACATACAACTATATTAAAGAATCCTAGTATCCTATAGTACACTTATTCAACAGTATACAAGCAGTTGCATAACAGTATTGTTGTATTAAAGCCAATGTTTTTGTCACTAAAAAAACACTACAATCTACTGAAAATAATGTTGTGCTAAGATGTTCTCTGACATGTAAGAGCACCCTCCAGAGTGCAACCGATGTAGTTACAACCACGTAGAAATACAATGCACCAAAGTTCAGCTCTTTACAGTTGTGCCTATGATGTATGGACAATTGTGTATCAGCTTAATTTGAAGAAATTAAATAGTTAAGCATCAATTTCTGTTAATTCCAGTTCCTTTAACAAATAAGGGCGCTTGAGGGATTCTGTTTTAATGTTACTGAAGCTGGATTCTAAGGAGGCTCTTTTTCCCTTCCAGTTGTCAGCATCAGACAGATGTGTCTGGGCTGTTAAGGTGGACTTCCTAAAGGTGAGGTGAGACTACTGGCTCCGCTTTTCATTGAGAGGATACAAAATGACCCTTGCACAGAACACGAACAAAGGACGTTTCCTACATATTTTGTATCATTGTCAGAAGAAGAGGAGAGGATCCACCTGTTTATGTAACATGCATTATCAGTAAGTATGCTGTTTTCCAAGATGAATTTGCTTCTTCAGACATGTGAAGCAATGGTAATTAAAAACCTAGATTAAAACCAAATTGTATTTACCCATACCAAGACAATTAATATGATTTCATGATTTATTTTCTAATTTTGGGCACTCTCATCCCTGGTAAAAAAGCAACTGACACACATACAAGAAGATGAGAGTGATGACCTTGAACACCATCTGCCCATTAGGCCCCCTGGTAGGTGTGAAGGAGGTTTTGCATGTGGGATCAAAGTACGAGCTGTTTCACTGGGACTACGGCCTTAAAATGTGGTGACCTCCATAAATATGAATTATTCGAAGCACTAAAATGACCTCCCATTAGTCTGTCCTTCCAGTACTACCTTTTATCAATGACATCTTAGATAAGTACACTTGGCTGAAGTTGCAGACATGTCACAGGTGACTAAAATAAAAACCATGGAGGTAAAGACACTTAATGTGTCAATTTCTTAATTGTCCGCATGACTTATAGCAAAAAAGGATGAACTGTTATAGATGTGCCATACAAGCACGCTAAAATTATATTCCTCTATTCTAATCAGCCATCAGAGAAATCTAGAAAATGCACAGGCGGGCAAAGTATGACATTCACTGCTATGTTTACTGATGTAAATGTTTAATAATATCTTTCATAAAAAATATATATACATGAAAAAAACATGAAATTAAAAAGCACATACATATATATATATATATATATTTATATTCTAAAGTCACAGCTGTAAATAAATAAATAGTGAGTGACATCTACAAACAGTATGCAATCCTGAGACTACATTTGGGTAGTGCTAGTACATTCTTCTCTACATACAGTACCTCTTGTACATTGAAACTTAAAAGTATAGCATAAGCTACAGTAGTCAATTTACACTATTATGGCACATGCTACAATACTCACAAGATACAATTAAAAACACTTTAAAGTATTAAGCAGACACAATCAAATCACTGTCCTGGAATGTATTTAGTATCCCAATTATCCCACGGATCATTTAACGTCAGGGTCCCAGATGTGAGGAGATCTGAAGAGGAAATGAAACAACTTTTAATAAATGTATTTCACATATTTAAATCTGATTGATAGTCAAAACCACCCTTTCATAAATGATGACTGCCAATGTGTGATAGGATCCAAAGACTGACTGTTTGAACCTTTCAATCTTTATTACATTCCTTCCTTAATTATCCTAAATTCCTCTGAACAGTGAGTGAACCATGCATTTGGTAATGACGACTGCATCGATCAGAAACCAGAAATCCATTACAAAAGAAGAAATGTTTTTTTGGTAGATGAATGAATGCACAGACAATTAAATGAATTTCTAAATAAATAAATATAATGATTATGGATATAATTTATAAATGCATCTGGCTTATTTAATGACATAAAATATGTTTAAGTTATACCACTACCCAACAGCTAATCACCTATATGTCTGTACTTACATGTTAAAGTAAGGCACTGCTCTCTCAGCTGCTCTGGCTTTGTCCACCAGACGGCAGTGTAATACCAGAGCAGGAAGCAGGGGAGAGATGGGAGTTGGAGTTCTTTGCTGCTGTGGGGGTAGAGTTACACTCTGACCTCCTGTTGCCACTTCTTCTAGGTTATCGGAGAGTAGGGCGTCTTCCTCGTCTTTTTCTAGAGGAAACTCTCGTGGCTCCCAGGGTGTCTGAGGCTGCCAGGGAAAAGAGCGCATTAATGGTATTGAGCCACACTTCTGTAAATATAAATTAACAATGAATAAACGATGAACATGTTGGTGCTAGTATGTGCTATATGTATCACTTTCTATGCACACAAGAGTGAAAATATAACAAATATATATTAGATATTTTTGAAGAGGAAAGAAACGTAAAGAATGTGCTACATAAGTTGTTAAATAAAACTCAGATTACTTCCTATATCAGTACCTCCATTGAATTTAGACTTTACATTACATGTCATTTGTTAGACGCTTTTATCCAAAGCGTGGGGGGGACAATCCCCACAGGAGCAATTTGGGGTGAAGTGTCTTGCCCAGGGACACAACGACATGCTGACTGCAGTTGGACTCGAACTTGCTATCCCCTGATTAAAAGTCCAGCACACTATCCACTGAGCCACAGCCTCCATCCATACACTTTAAAGGGTGTATCATAGCGTCACATAAATCTGATTCCTTATTAAAAAAAATCAAACGCTGTGCTTTAATCAGGGTTTGTATGGGGGCTGGATAGCAATAGAAGGGCAACAGAGTGAAGTGGGGATATTTGTGGTGTGGAGACATTGATTTGGACCGTCTGGTTTAGCAGCAACTCATTTCTTCTCCAATCAAAGCGAAGTGGTACAAAGCACCGCAATCAGAATATAATCAACCACAGCGAAGTGGAAACAAGTATCTGTGTAGGCTCTCAAGGATATATCTAGGCTACCCACTCAATATAACTAGGGGAAGAGTATTGATGAGTGTTTAACACGGTTTTTTCCACTTTATACTTTTCCTCTCATCTGAAGCACATCATACCACAGACACATCTTTGACTGGAGTGTTACAGAAAATATCTATTGTGTATCCGACCTGTATTTTAGTTATTTTCATAGTACTTTGAAATAAGTGTTTTAAAGGGTGATATATAAATAAAGTTTATTATGATCTGGCCGCTATTTTAGAGATATGGCATCAAAATGAAACAGCCAATCGAAAATCGCTGTGTATGACCCTCCTCCTTCCTGAATCAGCATACTTGGGGTTTCAGCTGTGGTGCTTTTGATCTTACCAGCCACTCCTCTGGGCTTTGCTGTTCATCAGTATCCAGCAGCTGAGCACAACTCAATTCAGCAGAGCTCTCCTCTCCTGATGTGCACATCCCGCCCCCTGACAACCTGCTGCCAAAGCCGGAGAGAAAAACAAGCATACCCCATGAAACTTCACGAGGAAATTACTCAACATTCCCCTTTCACACAAGCTGTATTTGCATGCACAGAGATGAGCAAGCCAAGCATGCAATGGTTGCATCTGTCAGCACAGACAGTGAGTCGAGGATTTGATCCAATTCATTTTCTGATAAAGCGTGATAAACACTGACATTTCAGATGTTTGAAAAGGCTGATATTTCTCACAATCCACCTGATTCATATAGTTCCCTTTGCATTTTCATATCACCTGATGAAATAGTATTTAAATGAACACTGGATTATTTAGCCTGTGTGTGTATTTTCTGTTAGTGTCTTTGGTTTTCACCTATTAGGACGTCTGCAGCATTTTATTTTCGCCCATGATGGCCAGCGCAGCTTCTCTCTCTGCTCTAATTCCATGTGTCTCCGGGCAACCACGTTGTTATTGTTATCCTCCTCCTGAAAAGAACACATACAGAGAGATAAAGATGATATTTTCTGCACAAATAGCCCAAAAAAGAAATGTTATCTAAGAGATGAGATATTACCTGCCCCTCCTCTTTGTCCTCCTCTTTCTCTGCTTCACAGTTCAGAGAAAAGGGGTCAACCACCCGCCAGCTGCAAAGAAAGACAGACTTTTGGAGTGTTTTTTATGACAGACAGCGATGGTGGACAGTGGGCATAGCATTTTTCTAATTCAAAGTATGTTTTATAACAGCCATATTATTATGCATTTATGTTAAGAAGCTGCTTGTTTGGAAATAAAGGTATTTCACTACTGAGAGGGAAATCAAACCTACCTTACAAGAGGTAGCTTGACAGACTTTATACCATTTCGATTAACAAGTTTAATGGGCAGAATCAAATTTCTCTTTATTGTAGCAGTACAGGGAAAACTGAGTATTTCACAAAGCATGGTTAAAGTGACCTATAAGAAATTGTTACAACAGTTTCTACAACATTTGTAACAAAGAGCATTAGGACATAGCTTCCCAGTCAGCTTTTATTTCCTACCTTGGTGTCAGGATGTCTTTGTACTGCAGCTTCTCCACTTTAGCCAGGGACATGGGGATGACAATGTTGTTGATGTTGTACACACTCTCTCCCTGTCGTCTGCGAACACAGCCCTAAAATGAAACATGGAGTGACAGTTCACACCAACGATTCAGAATTTCTCACACATTTAATGTCAGCCATTGTCGCTGTGATACAGGCTTTCTGTTGACTATAGCTTCTTCATATTCACATCAAATGTTGTGTTTTGAATTTATGAAGTTAAATTATTTTCTTAGCCCGATTTAAGGGTCAGTGTTAATTCAGGTTTGGTATCCGGTAAAGGTTACTGTATACATGAATGAGTGTTCTCGGAAGTATACATGTTTTAAAATGTGTGTATTACCCGTGAGGCCTGCTTGTGTGGCGCCTGTGTGTAGCTGTCCTCCAGCACTTCATCTGAACTGTCTAGGTCATAGAGCTGGTACAGGTCATCTTTCTCATCTGGGTATAACACACACACACACACACACACACACAAATGAGACTAGTGTTTAGCTGCAAAAGACACTACATACACAAAACCTTTAACCATTAAGTTACTTTCTATGATCCTGGAATACAGTAGGTGAACATATACATATACACACCTTCTAATAGCCTGTGGTTGTGTTTTCTCTTCCTTTTCCTCTGGTTGGCTCTGCGGTGTTGACTCTGAGCAGAGCCTGCCATCCTGATAGGTGACAGACCCATAACTCGGCTTTTATGATGCCTTGCACGCTGCTTGTATTTGTGACCTACAATAAAACACACAGACAAACACACACACACAAACTGAGTAAACACAGCACAGGAATTTCCTTTCATTCCTATTTTCCGCCTTGGTTTAAGTCTACAAAAGCTTATCCTTAACCTTTAGTCCCATTATTTTAGCTGGTGACTTCCTCTCACACCATTAATGCAGATAACTTGCTAACAAAATGTAAAATGTTAATATATTTCTCTTCATAACCCAAGTGAAAATGATTGAAGAAACTGATCTAAAGACAATTTGATGGATTGAGGGACTTGAATAGATTATTTAGCTTTTTTTGTAACTTTGTAAAAACAATGCCTGCCAGGGTTAGGGGTGAATTTACACACTTGCACACACTTATCTTAGCCTTGTTTTAGTGCTGTGGTCAGAACTTTAACAGAATCCATTAGGAGAAAAGAAGGACAGAAGTAGAAGTAATGAAGGAACTGTAGGGAGGAATTAATGCCTGTGATCCACCTTACATTTCAATAATAAAGTACATTATTTGTACTGTAGTGCCTTCGCTAACAGTTAAATACTAAATCCTTTATGCCATTCTTTATTATTCTCCATAGTATTTACCCATACGACCATCTCCTGCTTGCTTTGACTGTTTACGTGACCTGATTCTCCTTTAGCTACAATCAGGTATCACAAGGGGTTTGATGATGTAGAAGGCTATTATCAAAGGTGACGTTAGCTTGAACGAGCGAACGGAGAGGAAAGGAGAATAAGATAATTCAAGCCGACAAGAAATCAATAGAGAGGTGGGTAAGTGACATCTTCATCAATTTCCAATTGGCCTCCTGTGTGTTTCCCACTATACTCTCTACCTACTTCTACTACAGCACTTATTGCCTTTCTTTTAAATCCACCGATTCATTAAACACATAAAAGGAAGAAGTCCGTCAAAACGTTTTGACGATCAGGGAACATGCTTTAAACAACCATGGTGATGGAAACACTTAAACCCCTGAAACCAGAGCTGCCAGAGGCATTTGCAGAAGTAAGTAATTGTTCATTAGCATCAGACTAATATATATAGACAATGTATCGACACTGCTGAAATGCCAAATGATAACTGCTCAGTTGGAAGCCTCATACAGAGCCAGCGTGATATCTGACATGCGCAGGATAACTCATGAGGGAGACAAAGAAGACAAATTCCACTTTTTTTATAATTTATAAATATTGATTAAGTGTTGTTTAGAAACAAGGTTGGATAAAAAATCATTTAAATATTGGTTGTAGTGTTATGATAACACATTTTGTATTTGATTATAAATGTTATGTTTCAAGTAACTTTAAATGTAAAAATAGACACCAATAAAATGTATAAGAATTACAATTAGGGCTGCAACTAACAATCGTTTTCATGATCAATTAATCTGGCAATTCATTTAGGTTTATTCAGGAATTTGTATAAACATTATCAATCTTACTTAGTCAAAAGGATGTCACTTTTTTACCCGAAGTTAGTCAGTTTAGTGAAACAGAACGAAGCAGAAGGGCAAATTTGGCCTTCCTGAAAAAATGAACAATTAATCCATTATCAGAATATTGGTGATTTTGTGTCTGTTAAACGAAACGTCAATTAGTCGTCTAATCACCACAGCTCTGATAAAAAAAAAATCGTGCTACACCTTATCCAATTGGGACCAAAGCGCTAGCACCAGTGACGTAGCTGCAGTTATTCTTAAAAAGAACACATTCAAAAGGTTTCGCCTGTGAAGCTGGAACAGGTAGTGAAGACTTGTAATTCACATTAAATTACTACTGACTTCAAAACAGACTTCTTTGCTGCCAGCTCTGCAAAGAGAAGTGGATCAAAGCCAGCAAGTTTCTACAACAACAACAATGCAGGTGCAGTCTGTTAAATAGCACCTCTGCCTTCCAGTCGATTCCATTACTCCTCAACACAGCTTGTTACAGTCCTGCTCACATGCATTCTGTGAGTTTCTACATGGCACAGCAAACGCGTAAGAGTAAAGTACATGCAGAGCAAAAAAAGTAGACAAAGCAGTCATCAGACAGGAGAGCACCATGGAACAGTACAGGATATGTGATCAATACTGGTAAAGGGCAGGATCTTACTGTTGTGCAGTGGTGTGGAGCTGGATCTGTTGTAGTGTGATGGACTGCATGGTTCCACATTTATAATCAAAGGCCTTAGGGACCATTCTTCTCTGGACTTCTCTGATTGATTGGACTGAGGAGTACCTGAAGGAAGATGAGACAATTATACTGTAAGTATGCAGTTAAAACACGGTTACTCAGCACATCTCTTAATGCAAGCATGCAATAAAAGGCAAACACAAAGGCAGTGTATGACGCAAGCATCCGTATCCATTGTTCGCTATTCAAGCCCACACACTGGCAGCATCGTGAAGCAAGGTAAGACATCATGATACACCACTGCTTTAGTCCATGTGCCCAGCTATCACTGCCTCTGTGTGGCCCGTCTGACATGCAGGCGTCAACTGGAAAATGACACACGATGGCAGGTGTGTGGTGCGCCTGTTGGTTTACCATGTCAAATTCAAGCGAATACAATACTCTTGTGAACTGCACCTCTCAGGAAACAGTAGATAAATCAAATGTACCACATTCTAGCTTTTCTTTTTTAAAGGTCACCTATTATGCAAAATCCACTTTTTCATGTCTTTTATACATAAGGCAAGGCAAGGCAAATGTATTTATATAGCACCTTTCAACACAAGGCAATTCAAAGTGCTTTACAAAAAATGAAAGACATTAAGAAAATGGCATTTAAAATCAGTCATTAAAAAGAAAAGATAATAAAATAAACATTAAAAGAAAAAATACATGGATAAAAGTTACAGTGCAGTCTAAGATCTGAATAGTTCAATTAAAAGCAGCGACAAAAAGAAAAGTCTTCAGCCTGGATTTAAAAGTAGTAAGAGTTTCAGCGGACCTGCAGGTTTCTGGGAGTTTGTTCCAGATATTTGGAGCATAATAACTGAACGCTGCTTTACCATGTTTAGTTCTGACTCTGGGGACAGAAAGCTGACCAGTCCCTGAAGACCTGAGAGTTCTGGATGGTTCATAATTTAGCAGTAGGTCAGACATGTATTTTGGGCCTAAACCATTCAAAGCTTTATAAACCAGCAGCAGTATTTTGAAATTAATTCTTTGACACACAGGAAGCCAGTGTAAAGACTTCAGAACAGGTGTAATGTGATCCACTTTCTTAGTGTCAGTGAGGACTCGAGCAGCGGCGTTCTGAATCAGCTGCAGCTTTCTAATAGATTTTTTAGTGAGACCTGTGAAGACACCATTACAGTAGTCGAGTCTACTGAAGATAAAAGCATGGACAAGTTTTTCCAAATCCTGCTGCTTAGTCTTTTAATCCTAGATATGTTCTTTAGGTGATAGTAGGCTGATTTAGTAACTGATTTAATGTGACTGTTGAAACTCAGGTCAGAGTCCATGACAACACCTACATTTCTGGCTCTCTGTTGTTTTGAACATTGCAGACTGAAGCTCACCGCTAACTTTTATACGTTCTGCCTTGGCTCCAAAAATCATTACCTCAGTTTTATCTTTGTTTAATTGGAGAAAGTTCTGACACATCCAGTCATTGATTTGTTCAATGCACTTACTCAGTGTTTGAATTGGAGCATAATCTCCTGGTGAAATTGTTACGTAAATTTGTGTGTCATCCGCATAGCTATGGTAACTTATTTTGTTGTTCTTCATTATCTGAGCCAGTGGTAGCATGTAGACGTTAAAGAGAAGAAACATGTGTCCCCTCTGTGGAAAGAGATTCTGAAAGTTTCAGGAAAAATGATTCGCTCTCTTTTTGTCCTGATCCATTTACTGTATATACAAACCTGTCTGAAAATGAGCTGATCAGATTTTGGCCACTTTATGATGTAACCCACCCCCCCCACCTTATCACCTGAATCTCCTCCTAGAGCACCATTGTGTTCTTTTTAACCAAATATCTCTCAGAGGGGCGTGGGGAGTGGCTCCTTATTTTTCATCTAAAGTAACAGACAGAGAATCAGCACTTTTGAAACAGGGCTGAAACAGAGGGGATTATGGGATGCTACAATGCATGATCTGTTTGGTATTTGGAGCCAAACACTTCAGAGACATGTTTTGTATCTGAGACCTATTATATATTGATGAAAAACAGTATAATAGGGGACCTTTAAATAAAAGGTGATACAAGTGTCTTCCTCATATTTAATGTTAAATAATGTTTTCACAGTCATACCATTCACACAATGTTATGAAGCAATTTTAATATGTATCCTACCAAATGAAAGAGACACTGCAGGGTGAGGGTTGGAGCTGGGGGTCCTTGAGGACAGTGCCCTGCTGGAGCTGCAGGCGGGGTCAGAGCACAGGACTACAGGGTCACAGGATGAACAACATGAACAGGAAGGTGATGAGAGAGAAGAGGAATGAGTACACGTGGACCTCCCAGAGTCCTGAAGCACAAAAAGAGAAGAAAAAACAGAGAAAGACATTTATTTTTTAGATTAGACAACTTACTTTCTTAAACTACTGGATAAACTTGGCCGTCTCCTTGTGTTCTTTTAAAGTATGAGTCAGAGGGAATTTAAGGGAGCTGCGCTGTGGGCACACTGATTAAAGTAATTAAGTTGTTAACATGCTTTCTTTTGCATCTGGCAATATCACAATGGAGCTGCCTAGGGCTGCTTCTTTTTATAAAGAGCTACAAACTCTATTAGGCTCTAATGCTAGAGTACAAGTGTTTGGCAAGGTGTTAAAACTCCAGGGTCAAATCCAAAGGTACCTTTACATTTCAAACGGTTGGATTTGAACATGTCAATCTTTAAAATGGTTAATATCTTTGTATGTGTGCTAAAGAAGAGCAAGATGGTGATTAGAAAACGAAAGTTAAACCTTGTGTTTTTATTATAGAAACTGACTCAAACATTAAGATCAGGCCAAAATCAAAACTATTTTACATGACATCATTATTTGAGGTACTATAATATAATATTGACTTAAATGAAGACAAAAACACTCAAAACTAAACTGAAGTCAAAGTATTGTGTATAATAATGTATGAGTTCATAGTCAATCCCTTAAAACCTGACTTTGCAAGGACATAGCAATGTCCCCAGGCTAAATGAAGGCTATAGCTTTAAATGAACCCAATGCACCCGTTTTCTTGAAGTCCTAGTTCATCAAATTTGAAACATTTATTATAAAATCACAAATGTAGGCCTATAATTAGGATGAATAATTGATGCATTATGGTTAAGACCCCATTTACACGGGAACGAAACGGGTTGTATCCACATAGTTTCTCTTGCGTATAGCCCTTTCATTTACACGAGGCCGTAACAAAACGATAGAAACGGCCCCCGCAAACGATAACGGGTCCCAAGGTGGATAGATCTGCAAACGGAACGCTCTGGGGGGTCAAACGGCTCTGTGTAATCGCCTCTATACGATCATTTCCCGATAGATGAAGCCATAGCCCCGCCTCTCCCCACCTCTGCTGCTCACTGCTGTAGCATGGTCAGTAGCTACTGTCAGTAGCTACTGCTAGTGCTACTGCTACTGACCATGCTACAGATGTTAGTACAAAATCTACAGCTCGACCATGCTACAGATGTTAGTGCAAAATCTACAGCTCCTCTACCACAACCATCAGCAACAAGTGGACATGGAGAATTACATGAACTACTACATGTTGCTAAATCCACCGCGGGGCATAAACAGAAGGGCAACCATGGCAACCATGCTCCGGGGTCTTCTTCGCTGCTTTTGGTGTATTTTGTGGCGACAGCAGCGCCACTTACAGGCCTGGCATATGTACTACAGCGTTTCCAGCGGGTCGAGCGGTCTCGTGTGAACAGACACGTTAAATGAATCGAATGCGTGTGAACGGAAGACTTTTTTGAAAACGCATATGGTGCGTAAAAGCAAACGTTCCCGTGTAAAGGCAGCCTAAGTAAACTGGGGCAGTAATACAGTAATCAGGCATAGTGCTGATGTCATCTTGATTAATGCCTTCACAATCACTTCCTCAGAATAAAGAGGGGGAAAATGCAAATGTCTTCATTATCCTCACTATGCAGGGACATGGTGGCACTAATGAATAGATTCTAATGTATTCCTGTAGAGAAATAGAGTTATTCTAGAAGCACAGACTGGTTCAAACTAAGATTAAGTGTAGGAGTAAATAAGTCATAATTCTAACTGGACCCAATGTAATTCAAACAGCAAATAACACAACAAATAAAGACATGCATATTTGGGGTCAGACTTCTTTGATATCGTTGCAAACTATTGGAAGATAAATGTTTAGAAAGGTGTCCATGTTTTGCGTCATGGCACATAGATGTGTATGTGTGCTGTGAGAGTTGCATTATGTAAATGAGAAGATGGATAGACTGGGAAATAACTGCTTGTGTGCCTACCTCTGCACTGCTGGAGTTGCAGGTGTTGAAAGAAAACAGTTTGGGCTTGTGGTAGGTGACCAGGGGTCGAGTGCGGGCACACACGCATGACACATCCGATTTGAAGAGCCTCCTGGTCCCCAGTCTCCTTCTCTTGGAGCTCCCAGGGACAAAAATGTCGCCTTCTCTCTGACCACTGCAATAACGAGATTGTTTAAAAAAAAAATGTATTCATTGTTGGTCTTAGATCTTCTTTCAGAATAACAGCCAGAAACAAACAATAGCTTGTTACATGCATACACAGGGTGAAGAGCTGTTTTTTTCTTAATCGCTTGGCTTTTATCTTTAGAGCCAGACAGAGAGTTAAAAAGGCAGCAGGAAGGAAAGACATGTTGTAGTGTAATGGGTTACATTACAACAACCTTGATCATTCAGAATATAGAATACCCCTAGACCAGACAATGTACAAACCTCTGGTGATACAAGATTCTCTGTTTCTATTTTTAAATGACATGTCATTTGTGTGTGTGTGTGTGTATGTGTATGTGTATGTGTATGTGTATGTGTATGTGTATGTGTGTGTGTGTGTGTGTGTGTGTGTGTGTGTGTGTGTGTGTGTGTGTGTGTGTGTGTGTGTGTGTGGGTGTGTGTGTGTTGTGCTCTGTACCTTGTGAAGGCTTTCTTGCCTCTCCAGGTGTGGGATGTTTGTTTAGATAGCGGTGAAAAGCTGAGAGGAGGCATCAGACTGTTGACAATCTGGCTGAGCTGGGCACTCTGCAACAAAGAAACCATCCATATATTGCTTAGGGATACATACAAAATAATGGATTGATCAGACTGATAAACATAGCATTCAGGTTTAAGGAAAAAGCTCATTTTATTCAGGTACCTTTGTTTAATTGAGCTTCAAATGTGCCTGGTGTTGCACAATAGGATTCAAAAGGCGATTATTCTGGATAGAAACCTGTGTTGATATTTAGTTGGACATTAGGTGAAGACATCCAACACTTTTATTTGCCCAAACAAACTCATTTCTGTCAAGTGAAATGAAAACACACAGCCGAGATTTTGTCGAGCTATTGACGGGCAATTTTTTGTACTCATTTTGGCATAATTTTGTACTCAAGTATCAGCCTTCTCAAAGCAGGTCATTTTTGTATTTATGTAAAATGTTTAATATACTTTTTGTTTTAAACTAAAACAGATTGACTTATTTGTATGCCATTAAAACAGTTTGCACTTGGATTAACAGTCGATTTTCGGCATCAGCTCCCCTCCTACAACAGATGAAATCCCTTTAGGCTTCACAAAGCAGCAGGAATTTCTGCATTCCATATGCAGTCTCACTATCTAGCATAACAGCTAAAGGTCAAGCAACATGCATACTTTAATTAATCTGTCTAACCATCTCTAGTTCCTGTGCTTTTCTACACAACAGACACATTTGTAAGGTTATTCTCGTGATTTAGTGTATGGAGTTAGATCGGAAAAGATTACTATTCCTCTTTACACAGTCGGTATAACTTGTGTCTTTACTATTTCCTGCCTCCTACCTGTCTCTCTATGTTGTACAGAAGGCGTGTGGGGCTGCAGGGTTCATTGTCAGCGTCTGATCCGGCCGTGCAGGATAACCCCGCCAGTTCTCTCAGCAGGGTCTGCTGAATCTGTCGGTCTGTCAGTGGCTGGGACTCTGCAAGCACCACACCACCCTAAAATAAACAAACACACACACACACACAAATAACTTAAATAAACTTTGGTTGTATACTCTGCCATACTCTACCACAATTATTCTAACATTTATAAAATGGCATTATCTGTGAGAACAGTCCATGACAGCTGCTTGCATTGTTTTATGTATCTTCAAAGTGTGACTACAGTGGCCCACTTTTCTATAAGAGATTTGGTCAAAAGTCTTATCCCATGTTACAGTATTGCAGCAACAATTGGCAGAACATTTACATTCTCTTCACTTAAAACTGACTTGTATCAAGGCCTCAGTAAAAGCCCTTAATAATCTATAGCTGTCTATTGTGTCAACTGGCCTTTATTAGGGTCTTTACAGAGGGCTTTTGTCTTACCTTGCAAGAGCGGATGTGCTTGTGGAGCTCCACCAGTTGTTGTGTCCTCCCTTCCAGCTCGGCCAGACGCAGCTGCAGCCAACTCCATCTGCTGCCCAGCTCCGCTCTCTGCTCCAGCCACCGCCTCTCACAGCTGCTGCTGCTGCTGCTGCTGCTGCTGGAGGAGGACAGGGTGATGGATGACAGAGAGAGGACACTTAGACCCGTGTAGTGGTATTAGTTATATTACTCTCTGTCAAATGCCCCAGAAACTGATACAACCTCACAAGAAGAAAATGCTTCAGCCAAGAATGCTGAAACAATTTCAAGATATTGAATGCAGTCATAAACTCCAGTACAATCATTTACTGGAAGTGTGCGAAGAGGCTAGCATGCAAGAATCACTGGCAGGGAAAAGTGTGTCACCAGTGGGAATAGTCACACAATGAAGGGAGATTGAGAGACACAAAGAGAGCACTTACAGCACAATCCATTTGTCAATTCACACATTTGCACTGCCTTCTTAAGACCTATCTTACACCAATCATGTTGCCGTACCATTTGGCATCCCCCCGATTTTGCTGAAGCACAAAAGCTTATCTAGGCCAAAGAATAAAACCCTGTTGATTTGTGCGGTGTGTATCCATAGTATGTTTCCATGGCACTAGCCTGTTCAGTGAGCATGTATCTTCTGTGTGTGTGTGTGTGTGTGTGTGTGTGTGTGTGTGTGTGTGTGTGTGTGTGTGTGTGTGTGTGTGGTGTGTGTGTGTGTGTGTGTGTGTGTGTGTGTGTGTGTGTGCGTGTGTCTCCAGCAGAGCAATAGTTGCTATGGCAGTGCTCTTGGACCTTGGCTAGGACAGGAGGGACTCCCCCCACTTCAAACACTCGGATGCAGGACTGAGAAAGGTTAGGCCAGTCAGAAAGCAGCTATATAGAATACATGACATTACCCCTGGGTGTTGTGAGGTAGTTATTCTACAATATCAACTTGTGAAGTAAAATACCAAACATGTTGTGTGCTCGCCTGATCAAAATGAAACCCAGTGTTTTGGTGGATTTGAATAAGAACTTCCCAAATAAAATCAAAGCTGTTTAATGACTGCTTCTAGACTGACTTTGAATCAACTCTAAGCTAATATCCGTTGGTTAAGGCTCCCTCTTTACTCCACAGACAATGACCAGACCTGGCTGCCCTGCAGCTCTTTCCAACTGTATAATGAGAAAATTCCTGGAATATCTGCCAAGCAGTGGGCGAGTCAATGGGAGAGGGTAGGAGAGGAGAGGTTACTATTTACCTGGTAGTGTGCAAGCATTACATATTTTATGTAGATATTCATTATTAAAAATGAATGGTCTAGTAAACCACTGGCTACCCTCCAAAGTGAGAAGGTGTGAGTTTCCATAGACAAATCCTGGTTTCATTCAAGGCCGGCCCCAGCAAGTTGTAGTAGCTTTAGGAATTCCCCCATTTGGATAGTATTTCCTGACTCTTGCAGAGGCTTTAGAGCTGTTGGGTGTGTCTTGCACTTAAGATTTCCAACATGAAACCTTTCACAAATCCTCCCAAAAATCTAAAATAACAAAACTACTGAAAACTGAAAATGAGCAACAGCTGCCGGTGAGGTCGGCAATGTGGTTCCAAATTAAATCAAACCAAACATGTCACTGCTTTACAAGTTAAAGTGTCAAAGGGCAACTGTTTCCACATTTTCTAAAGGGGGACAATGAACTGTCCAGTTTCCAGCAAGGAGACATCCTCTTCAAGGAGGAACCTGCCATAAAAACACCCCGGGGAAGGTTTACTGACGAAACACAGAGCATTGTTCGACAGACTCGTAGAAAAAGGCAAGCTGACGCTTCCAAGATGACAGAAGCTGGCCAAATAAAAGACACACACACACACACACACACACACACTAAGAACACACAAAACACCCTTTCTCATCCCTGCTCTCTCAGTGCTTATAAAAATGCCCCCTTTTGTAAACAGCCCGTTTATTGCACTGATTCAGGAAACACAAGGGTTGAAGAAGAACATCGGACAGAAATAAAAAAAGTTGTACTGCTCTTAGACCTGACAGGAATTGAGTCCAAATGGAAAGGTCTAACTGGACCAAATCCAAGATTTTACCCCTCTTTTTTTCCCCCCACTGACGCATCCCTGACGTCACCACATTGCTGACTGGGAAATACATTAACCTAGTAACATGAGGTTAGTTGCTCTGGCATAGCCTATCTATCTCAAAGTAAACTTTACAAATACAAATGTTGAGCAAATATATAATATGTAACGATTAGCAGTTTTTCTCAAATTATATTAATCAGGTAGACACGACCATCGAGCCGCTATGTATTCAAATAAAATATAAATTAACTGCTTTACACCTGGTTTGTTTGTCATTGCATTTTGAGGCAATTATGGGGTAGAAGAAACCAACATGTTGATTTTGTTATTTGCACAGAAATATTTTTGGGTGCTTTTATGCCTTTATTGTGGCCAAATTGCTCCTCTTTCCTATATTTTATGTTTCAGTGTTTCTCATTAACGGATTTACTTTTGTGGCACATTATTAAGCAAACCAATACAAAGATCCAAACAGCAAAAATATTTTGGTTAAAATAAATGTTTGTGCTATGTACACCGTTTTCATGCAAGTTGATACGGCTATGTGGCTTGTTAATAAAAAATACTCTTAACTTGATTTCAATATTATTTTTCTCGTCTGGGGCAATATGACTCCCTAAGAGAAAGGACATGAGTAAAGCAGCAACGCCCTTACTAACCCCACACACACACACACACACACACACACACACACACACACACACACACACACACACACACACACACACACACACACACACACACACACACACACACACACACACACACACACACACACACACACACACACACACACACACACACACACACACACACACACACACACACACACCACACACACACACACACACACACACACACACACACACACACACACACACACACACACACACACACACACACACACACACACACACACACACACACACACACACACACACACACACACACACACACACACACACACACACACACACACACACACACACAACATAATAAAGAGGAGCAAGATGGGGAGGAATGGCTGCCATGTGGCTTGCTGGCATCGCCGTGTTTATTTCCTAGCCAGTGGGCAAAGTGTGTTGAACATGTTCTGAATGCAGCATGGAAAAAGAATGTCTGTTCGTGTGTGTGTGTGTGTGTGTGTGTGTGTGTGTGTGTGTGTGTGTGTGTGTGTGTGTGTGTGTGTGTGTGTGTGTGTGTGTGTGTGTGTGTGTATGGCTGAACAATGTCATCATACTCTCCACAGCTGGGAAGACAGAACTAGTGCTTACGACAAACACAGTGTAATCTCTTCTGAACGCCAAGTAAAATATGTGCCGTACAGAAGACACAGTGGAACTCTTTCACTCAGATGACTTTCCAAATCGTATAATCTGCCATCCTGGAATAAACCAATCTGATTAAATCTGTGTTTTTTTTAAACAAGTTTCAACTCGTTGAGTTTCAGTATCTCCATTGTCCTGAACTCATTGGCTCCATCGACAACAACAGCTGGCTTCTGGCAACCCAATCCCAGAAGAGCATAACAAATATTTTGGCAGTGAGAGTGCAGTTAACTTTGTGTAAATAGTTTCCTATTGTTTTCTACAACACTAGTTGGTAACTTCATATTTGACACTGTGTGAAATCACATGGTTCTTCTTAATTTGATACACAAAATATATGAGGTTCAAGGGATTCTCAAGTGTCTCCTTTGTAGCGTGTTTATTTAGCTGGCAAAACCAGCTGTGAAACATGTGACAAACTGCAGCTCTTAAAAATACACAAAGTTCAAAATAAGAAACAGACCTCGATTTCAAAGTGGCCCACAACATAAGAGACCAGGAAATGGGTCTTACTCAATTTGCTTGTAAAAATAGAAACCGACCGTTCCATGCTCAGTGAGTGGAAAATTAGCTTTCGAATAAGCAAAACAGCCCAGTAAACAAGTAGCAGTTTACAAAAATGTATAACCAAAAGTATGGGTTTTATCCATTAAAGGGCACCTATTATGCAAAATCCACTTGGTCATGTCTTTTATACAATAACATGTGTCCCCTCTGTGTTAAGAGATTCTGAAAGTTTCAGGGAAAAAGATTCTCTCTCTTCTTGTCCTGATCCATTTATATAAAAACTGTCTGAAAATGAGCTGATCAGATTTTGGCCACTTTATGATGTCATAACGATTTTTTTCGCTTGTGTAACCATTAGCCAATAACCAACCAAGGTAACCCCCGCCCACCTGATCACCTGAATCTCCTCTAATGCCCCTTTCACACCAACGCAACTCCGGTTCAAGCTCCGTGCTAGAGCTTTTCTGGTTCAGAACTGGTTCTTCGGTTTAGCGCCGGCTCTTTTCACACCGCTCAGAGCCCGACTGGTGCTGCCGCTGCTGCGTCATGACGTCACAGTTTACGTCGCTGAGTTTCTCCCCAACGCCGGAGCTCACCTCACAATAACAACGGGCCGGGGACTGCGTTGCTTTTAATCATACGAAGCCAGATTAAATTAAATAACGACTTCTCCAACCTTATACTTTTCTCCAGAGTGCCGTGGTTCATTGTTTATTAATGTGTTTCAGCGGCATTTACCGACCGCTGCAGTGCTGGCCGGCTGCTCTTCCACGAGTGTATTCTCCCGTTAGCTCCGGGTTAGCTCACACGGCTCTAAAGTATTCACTGTCTGACTGTCACACAAGCAGCTGATACATATCCCCAGTTCCCCTTAAGTGAATGTGTGTCAGTCTGAATTGACGCTGTTTGGTGTCAGTCTGAATTGACGCTGTTTGGCATCACAACGCTGTTATGAAAGTTTCTCTGGTATAACATGGGTGATGTTAGCATAGCAACCGAAGCTAAACTGACTACTTGCTAAGCAGTTTTCTACAGGCACTTTTTACCGACGTATTTTTCATTATGATTCTACTTGTGATAGTCGGACATGACAACCTGTGCAGCCCATGTATTGATTCCATCCGATAGCTGCTATAATAACAAACAAAACGTCTGCCTGCTCTCCACAATGATCAATAACAGCGAACGGATGGTCAAAGTAAGGTACAAATAAACAGAATCACACGAAGCCTGGTTAGTGTTGCCTGACTTTATAAAGTGTGTTTTTTTTAACAAGTGTGTGGTTGCGTTCTAGTCACTTTGCTCAGCACTACTGCTTGTTACAACTTTTATTTGCCGTACTCGCCTTAAGTGTTAGCTCAGGTTAATCTCGCCCCCCTCCGACGTAAGCGTGACGTATGCGGTTCTTGCTTCTAGACGGACAACTTTTTGGTGCTCGAAACGAACCGGATTCCGGAGCTATGACGCTGCTCCGCTGCGGTGTGAACAGGAAAACCCGGTGCTTTTCAAGCACCAGCACCGAACCGGCCCTGAAACACCGTTGGTGTGAAAGGGGTACTAGAGCACCAGTGTTCTTTTTAACCAAATATCTCTCAGAGGGGCGTGGCTCCTTATTTTCATCTAAAGTAACAGACAGAGAATCAGCACTTTTGAAACAGGGCTGAAACAGAGGGGATTATGGGATGCTACAATGCACGATCTGTTTGGTATTTCGAGCCAAACACTTCAGAGACATGTTTTGTATATATCTGAGGCCTATAATATATTGATGAAAAACAGTATAATAGGGGACCTTTAACAAATCATTTAATGGCTTCACATGATATTTGAAGTAAAAAAATTAAAATACAAATGATAAGTAGCTCTGAAAAGGGATCCAGAAATGTAGTTTCGTCTATTAATGTTAGGGTTAGGTTACTTATAAACTTCCACCTTCCGGATACTCACACAGGTGACGTTTTCTTTTTAGTGTGGATCCTAACTTCCTCTCCCTCCTCATCTGAGCTGCTGCTGGCGGTGGCCTCAGAGTCCAATGCCTCCTGCAGGCCTCTCAGCAGCGCCTGGCTGGAGCAGCTGAACTCTCTGAGCTCTGAGAAGGAAAACGAGGCTGTGGGCGAATCCAGCCAAGAACAATAGGGATCACTTCCCACTTGTGGAGGTAGTATAAAGGAATTTAAGGAGTCTGAGCTGTCCAGAGACACGCCGCTGATTTGACAATGCTTTTTCAGCCCCTCTAGTTGCTGGTCACAGTGTTGCAAAGCATGCTCTCCTAGCAGCGCTTGCAGTCTCCTCTGCAGCCTCTGAGCTCGGCTTTGCAGCCCTGCCTGCCTGCAGAGCTGCTCCTTCCCAGCTCTCGGTGCCAGCTGGTCGGAGTTCACCCTGCAATTGCAAGGCTGCACTGAAGATGCACTAGGACAGCCCATTGGAGTCACTCTCCCCTGTGACAGTGTAGGTTGGAGTGCAAAGTATGGAGTGTAGCCCTGGGAGCCACTCTCTCCATGGCAATAAGAAGGAGGAACACTCCGCATAAAAGGGGAATGCTGCACATCACCACCACCTGGCCCATATTCAGGAGCAGCACCATGCAGCAGACAAGCCTCTTGGCCATTGTGCTCAGGGACAGGGACTAAAAACATGTCGGGTACACCTGGGAAGACGCAGGCCACCTGATGAGAATCTCTCAGGCCTTTAGGGAAGGAGAGGAGGCTGAGGAGGGAGGCCGGGCTGGGGAGGAGCTCGGTCTCACACTGCTTGGCAGACGCCTGCAGACAGGGGGAGAGCACCGGGTTGGCAGGGAACTCCAGGGGGCTCAGAGGGAGACACAGGTCCAGAGAGGGGAACAGGGAAAGGTTCAGCCACATCTTCTGGAGGTCACCATCATCTGTTAAGCCCATCTGAGATTCCAGCTCAGAACTACACATGACTCTTCCATCTGAGTCCATTCTGACCGAGGCAGGAGGGGAGGACAGGTGGATCCCATGGCCATCTTTCAAGGTTTTGGTAAGAGCCGGGGCCATACCACTGATGGTCAAGGTAGCCAAGGCAGCAGATTTCACCTCAAATTACCTGACAGTAAAAAAAACATGTTAGAAGGTAATGCACACCTACTGATGCGAAAACAGTCATCAATAAAAGCAAATATGATACAAAATACTGTTTGTCTATGGATAATGAGACCATATAATGTGTTGGGGTTAGATTGGTGAATTTATAACCTTTCAAGACATGGTAACACTATTTATTACAGATGGGAAAAATAGAAATACTAAAGTGTAAAAATACTCTCTTACGAGTAAGAGTCCTGCATTCAAAATGTTACTTAAGTAAAAGTATAAAAGTATTGGCATTGATACTTAGATTATCAAAAGTAAAAGTACTTATTGTGCGTCATGTCCCCTTTCAGAATCATATAAATTACTGGATTATTAGTTTTGGTGCAATAATGTGTTCATCACAGCTGGAAAAAGTGGACCTACTTTGTTATATGCCACTGCTGCATATCCTAATCATAATTGTGTATTATAGTTTATGTATTAGTTTATGTTTTGTAATAGATATTAATCTGAATCTGTAAATAAATATAATACTAAGTAAATAGTAATTAATTGTGTCAAATAATTGTAGTGAAGTAAAAAGAACAATATTGGTAAGGACCCAACAATATTGGTAAGGACCCAACAATCTTATTTTAGTACAGTACTTGAGTAAATGTACTTGAGTAGCTACATTACACCACTGGTTACAGGGTATCTGTGAGCTTCGTTTTTGAGAGGCTAAAAGTGCTCTCTGTACCCTTTTTCGGACACATATTTTGGTTTTGACACGGAAAATAAATCCCTCATTTTGCTCACAGCTTATTTGTTCACTCAGTTTACAACGCCTTCTTAACTAACGGAATCATAACGGAATAATAAAGAAATAGGACCGCTGCTGTTTAAACGGTTTAATTACAGTCACGTTAAAGCGTTAAACAGCTATGATGAGGTAGTGTGAAAGTTACCACAACAATAACACATGTTAATTTACGGAGCCAGGTAACTTAACAAGAGCTGTATTCGTTAAGTTACACTTCTGGATATTCTCGTCCATCACAGGTTCAACGTACATACGTTTAAACTAACATTACCAACACAAATGACACAGAGTTACCGAGCCCGGACGTTAATAAAGTATTTTTATAACGCATAACCGCTCACCTGATTGAACATGGTTTACTCCCGTAAGATTTACAGCTGAAAGCTTAAATCTTCAGTTGTTTCCTTTGCCGATCGTTCCAGAAAATAATATCTGACCGGGTTATCTGGCTCTCAAACTCCCGGTGAAACGATGACATTATTTTTTCCCGTTTATCGGTAGATCCGCTGTACTTCTAACTGACACTAGTGATGTGTCGGTCGCGAACGAGCCGATTCTTTTGAACGGCTCTTTGGTACGAACGAGGGGAACCGAGTCGTACTTGGTGAGAGCCGTTCTTGTTATCGTTCAATCGTTGGTCCGCACTCACTGCCTGCCAAAATCCACTCTCCTTTTAAAAAGCTTGATTTTGTTCCCCAAACGTATTCTGTGAAGACCCGCCCCTACTCTGTTTGGTAGGTTTCAGCACGAGGAGTGAGATGGGGTGGGTCTTAACGGAATACGCGAGAGAGAAGTCATACCAAGTGGTACAGGACAGGTAGACAACGTGTTTTTCGGATGGAAAATGAGCCAAACGCGAAAACGCAGCAGCATTTGGATTCACTTCAACCAAAACCCAGTCAGTGATAAAGCGCACCATTTGTAAAGGCAAAATATCCTTTAAAGCAGGATCAACAAATAATCTCCATCGCCACTTAAAAACACAGTATCTAATATTAAGAGTTGCATGAATTTCATTCAAGGCAAGGCAACTTTATTTACTTAACACATACAGAGGGTAAATTCAAAGTACATTCACTGACATGATGACATGGATATGGCGCCACCTTGTGTCATGTTTACAATGCCGATTATTGACATTAGGTCTGGCAATACAGTCAATCATTATCCTGGTGATTATTTTGCAGATAAACCTAGTAACCTTAAAAAAACGGCTCTTTTGAACGGCTCTTTTGAACGGCTCTTTGAAAGGAACGGAGCCATAAGATCCGGCTCCCTTCAAAGAGCCATAATTCCCATCACTAACTGACACCTCCCTGCTTCACTCATCAACTGCCGAGGAGCGAGGAGGAGGAGGGGCTGGACCGCACTCATGATGCCTTCAGGGCCCCTTCAGAAGATCAGACTCGGCAAGTGTTTTCCTTACCATACTTTCATTACATTACATTACGATAATTAATGTTTAATTGTACCCAAAGAATTGTATTTTTCTTTAAGGTTTGATATTAAGGCTTTGTGTAAATTCAACTGTATTCAACACACATAAATACAATCTTATTACTGTACCTCTTTATCTTGTAATGTTTCAAGGTAAAATCTCTCAAACACTTTAATTTCAAAATAATAGAAAATGATCTTATAAATAGAGATAATATCTCAATTATATCATAATTACAAGACAATTATTGTATCATTATATTATAACATCTTTCAACTATGTACGTTCCAGTTAATGTTATTTTTTCTTAATATCTCAATTGTCAAATATTTTTCTCCCAATTATGTATAATGTATTTTGTGTTTATACGAAGCATTTCCAGAATATTGTAACTGCTGTAAGGCTCCTGTATAGAAAGAGATTACTTTCTTGTATATTTACATTTTTGACTCCTCAAAATGTGAGCCTTTGCCATGGTTTAAAAAAATGTAATTTAGAAAATGTCAGGAATGATGTTAAATTAAAGGGCCAGTAACCTGAATTGTAGTCCATATGGCTTTGGTACAATTGTATAGAAAAATTACAAAACACTATTACAAAAAGTTACGGTTTTTAGTCCAATGGTTTGTGAGGTATGCAGTCCTAATCATTTAAACCACAAAGAACGAGGACAATACATGTGAAGCAAATATTGTTACATTTTAATATTGATATACATTAAGCCTCACCACAACAAATACAAAAGGATCATACAGTTGTACCGCCTGTTTTTTGTTGTACAGAACAAAAATCAATTCAGCAACTTGTGTTTTACAAAGATACTCTCTTACATTTCGTAGGTCATTAAGATGTTAAATATAGATAACAATATTTACGACAGATTATGGAGGTATCATTTCAGAGCATGTGACCTCTGCCAGCATCAAAGGGCAAAATCATTGATAGAAATATATTGTTCACATCTTGGATATTTTGTTTCTGAATCTTTGCAAATTAAAAGTTGTAGAGTGATTAATAGATTCTTCCTTTAAGTAAAAATAAAATGGGGTAAAATCCTGCATTTAACCCTCTGTCTTCGGGTCAAATCTGACCGATTTATCAAATCAAATCAAATTAAATCAAGTTTTATTTATATAGCACATTTAAAAGCGATTTTTGGTCGAGCCAAAGTGCTGTACATGTAATAAAAACACATTACTACAATCACAATAAAAGACAATAATTTACAACAGAAATATAAAAAACTAAAACACAGGGAATAGTCAGGTGTCATGCTCCGTTCTGACTAGAAGGCCAGGGAGAAGAAGTGTGTTTTTAGGGAGGATTTAAAAACCCCTAGTGTCTCGGCCGACCTCACATGGAGGGGCAGAGTGTTCCAGAGCCTGGGGCCAGCTGCTGCGAAGGCTCGGTGACCTCGGGTTTTGAGCCTGGTCTTGGGCACTATCAGCAACAGCTGGTCAGCAGACCTTAAAGCTCTGGCTGGGGTGTAGCGATGGAGGAGTTCGGCTATATAGGCAGGAGCCAGCCCATTTAGGGCTTTGAAAACAAATAAAAGGATTTTTAAATCAATTCGGAACCAAATTGGAAGCCAGAATTGGGGTGATATGGTCACGCTTTTTATGGCCAGTCAGAAGACGTGCAGCTGCGTTTCGGACTAGCTGCAGGCGTTTAATTGAGGCCTGGTTCATACCCACATACAGAGCGTTGCAATAGTCCAGTCTTGAGGTTACAAAGGCATTAATAACCCTTTCTAGATCTTTAAAAGATAAATACGACTTGGTTTTGGCCAATAATCTTATTTAAAAAAAGCAGGATTTGACTACGGTGCTGACCTGCTTGTCGAATTTAAAAGTGCTACTGAAGGTCACTCCAAGGTTCATGACAGAGGGGAGGATGTTTTCATTGAGAGTGCCCAGAATATCAATCGGAGAGGCTGGAGGTTGGGGTCCAAAAAAGATGACCTCGGTCTTGCTCTCGTTGAGGTTAAGGACATTTTGGCTCAGCCAGGATTTTATCTCTGTTAAGCAGTCCATCAACTGCTGTAGTGAGTGTTTGACATTTGCTTTGAGAGGCAGATAGATCTGTACATCGTCGGCGCAGCAGTGGAAGGGAATATTGTGTTTAGTGATAATTGAACCTAGGGGCAGTATGTACAGTAAAAAGAGGATGGGGCCCAGAATAGAGCCTTGGGGAACCCCACAGGTAAGAGGGGCTTTGGCAGAGGAGAAGGCACCTTCTACTTTCATCAATCACCTTCTACTTTCATCAATCATAACTTTTTTGTTTTACATTCGATTGCATTAAGGCTTTATGATATCCTTCACAGTAGACATTTGAACATATACAATTGCTGATCACCACTTTCATTGAATTTTGGATGATTTAGTCAACTTTGTAACACCCATGGTGTTCCCGGTCAAAAATGACCGCCATAAAGAAAAGGAATTAGTAACCATCCGGATCAGATAAAACACACACACAAACACACACACACATACTCTAGATGTGTCCCCCCCCCCTTATGTGCCCAATCCCCCCATGTGAATCACACCTGGCACACACAAACACACACACACACACACAGAACAATTTGATACATTTCCTGCTCCTATGTGCCCATCCCCCCACATGGATCACACCTGGCACACGCAATACATGTTCAGTGTCTGTTCTTTGTATATTTACTGCAGTTTTTCCTGTATACCAGTAGTCTGATACAATATTTACAGTTTGAAAGGGTGTTAAATGAAATTTGGTGATGATTAATGGTTTTTGTGTTAATTTAATAGCAGTTAAAACAGGACCGGTCAAATTTGACCACGAACACCAAAGTAAGGGGGGGGGGGGAAACGAAGACAATAGGAGGGTCAAAATAATCTATGGTTTCGGACACATGTGATTTATTATTACTATCATTATGAATATTTTTGTTGAATATATACATATTAATACGAACAATGTTGTTGAATATATAAATGTTATTGTGAATATTTTTCTTGAATATAATGACTATTTTTTGTTGAATATATAAATATCATTATGAATATTGATAAATACTGTATTCTAACAATACGTTTTTTAATTTTTTTTTTTTTAATCTGTTCGAAATAAAGATGGAAATGAAATGGTTATCAAAATGTGGCTTATAAGGGTTTTAATATTATAACTTATATACGATTACTTATACTGATGCATTAGTTTGCAAGTATCATGTGACTGTTGTAGTTGGTCGGAGCTGTAATTTCTAAGAAGGTTCTGAATGGATACATGTGAAAATAATATGAAATCAAGCAAATACAAAGCTTAAAACACAATAGAAATATTACTTATCATTTTTTTCAATTTACGGGGCACCTTGCCATCTATAACATAAAAACATATATCATACAAATCTAAATTGTAGATAGATCTCAAGTTACAAACTGTAGCCTATGTTATGGTGTAAACCTAACAATTAAAGAAGCACTATTTTGTTGCAAAAAAAAAAGTTGACAAGAAGTTCTGCTTGCATATACATTGTCATGGTTTGTAATTGTAGTCACTGTTTTTTACTGTGTTCTTGTTTTTAACAAAGATACCCCATGCTAAATATTGGCTTATCATTTGTGTTGATACAAAAAAAAGCGAACCTTTAAAACAAAGCAGTGATCGTCTCTAAACTCTTACATTAATATTCAAGCTTCAGGGACAGCTTGATTCACCTCACCAGTGTCCTGTCTTCTGGATTGAGCTCCTGTCTCACCCTCCTTGTTCAGTCTGTTGTTCTCTGCAGCATCGAGCTGCTCTGAGCCAGATGTCCGCTGCTCTCTGCCTGAATACAGCCTGACCAACTCCCAGGGCCACCGTAGTGCCTGACATGTACAGGTTAATGACAGTGAAATGTGTGGTTGGATGGATGAACGCAAGGGGAAAAAACGTGTGCAAAATCCACACAGAGCAGATCAGGTACAGGACTCCCTGTAGGATGCCAGTGACGGTGACCCTCACCTGGCTGCGTAACCGTGGATGGGACACTGGCTGTCTGTTTGCTACCATACGACGCATGTGTCCACACAGGTAGACTACAGTACAAAGACTCGAC